CAGTGCCACAACCATTACCTTTCCCATGACCAGTACCTACAAATTACAAATACAAATTACAGTACAAATTAAAATTGCCATTATCCATCATAACTATTTTCATTACCATTGCCGTTATTATTACCATTACCATTACGAAAACAATTAACAATTACTAATTACCATTATCAATTATCATTTCCATTAACATACAGTAATGGAACATAGTTTGGGCAATAAATTACCATTATCTACCATTACCATTATCATTACCATTACCATTATCTACTATAACTATTTTCATTACCATTGCCGTTATTATTACCACCACCATTACGATTAACATTTACTAATTACCATTATCAATTATCATTTCCATTAACATGCAGTAATGGAACTTAGTTTGGGTAATACATTACATTATCTACCATTACCATTATCACTACCATTACCATTATCAATACGATTACTATTTCCATTACAATTTTCAATTATAATTAATATTAATCAGGTGATTGAGGCTAGTCTCCAAATAAGCATCTGTAAAAATAGCAGACCACACAAAACCCGTTTTGCCCAAATATCTGTGAAGTGAATTATTTTGTTGTAACACAGCTCTAACTACTGTCTGAGTGCGAGTGTTTGTCGCATTCATTGCGTTTCAATTTAGTTATGCATTTTCATATCTCTACCTCTATTTATCCTTCAACTGTACACAGAAGTTAAGAGACTTGCAAATGCGTACAGAGTACAATGCACCATACGAATCTGTTGGAATTGCAAATTCATCATTTGCGGTGAGTGTGCCGAGTGCCACATCCAATATGCCAGCATTTTGTTGTAACTATGTATGTAAGTATGTACATTAAACTAACGTTTATTGTCACTTTTGCTTGTGTGGCTAAATGCAAATGCGGCTGCATGCAAATATTGTCTCAGCTAATCAAAAAAAAAAAAAAAAGAAACTAAATGGAATTGTGGAACTCGGTGTCAAAATGTCCTGCTGCACGGCAAAGTGTGCAACTCTGAGACTTTGCTGGACTTTTGACATTTGCCACATTGCCTGACACTTCAACTAACAACGCGCAGACGATGGATGACATGGCCAAGGATTATAAAAGTGAGATGTAGAAGATTACTCTCGAACATTGCGGCAAGCGGTGGGGCTTAAGTGGAGCGGATAATACTTTCACGCTGCGGTTAGATTACATTTGCATTATTTGTGTAGAACTTTAAGTGTTAAGAGTTATCAAGTTGTATTATTAATATTCAAAGGATTTTTTTTATATGTTTAGATTAAATTTAGTTAACTACTTGATATTAAAGAATTTCAATTCTAAGCCACAAGTAATGGTTTTAAGTGGCCAATGCAGGTGCAGTTCGGTCAACTTTTTATGTGGCAAAAAAAAACTGCACAGATAATTAAATTTTTATCTAATTAATTTCACTTCCATAATAGCAGCCTCGCCCACTCTTCGTGACCTATCGCAAATAAAACAAAAAAAAAAACATCGTATAACCCTCCATTCGTTTTAACACACCCTCCTACGCACACCTAATTAATTTTCGTATTTGCTTAGCAATCACGTCATTGCGGCATTTCAATGTTACGTATACGCCAGTGTGGCTCAAGTGCCGTGCATTTTTTTTTGTGGCACAAAGCAACCGCACGGATTATGACGTTAATTCATTATTCTATAAAAAATGTTTGCATGACATTTACAATGCGGTAAACGCGTTTTAATGAAGTATATTTATTCAATAAAAACAAAGGGGAAAACATATCAGAAAAACACTCCACCACTGCTTTGAATTCGCTTTATTAGATTTGATAATGATACACCAACTTAATCATAAAAATGGCCATATTTCCATACAGTAGCTGGTATAATCTATAGAAATATTTTATATTATTATTATCTTCTAAAATTTTTACTCATCCACTTACTTTGTTTCGCTGCCTCGTGGAGCGGGAGTATGTACAATCAGTAAGTTCGCTGTGGATATGATCAGATGATCATTGATCCACTACACAAATTTGGTTACCGAAATGAGTCTCACAGCCAAAGTTGCCACTGACGAAAAACTCTTTACCATCCACTTAAAAAATCGATTAAATCTGGAAAATATCTACCAATTACTTTTTTTTGTAATTATTTTAATAACAACTATAGTTTTGTTATATTTTTTTTTATCTATTTGCTTAAAAGTGAACAAATTGTAATAAAGAATTTTTTTATTTAACTTATATGCTATTTTAGATCATATTAATAAAATTTTTTTGGTTTCCTTCAACCAAAAGCGAAAAATATGAAACTAAAGGTAACAACGAAACCTCATCATTTGAAAAAACTTCAACTGCCGTTATTATGGACAAATACAGTGACTCGAAAAGCGCTTGGTGTTCCTTTTAATATTCACAATGTTTCTCAAGTAAACATTTTTTGCTATTTTTTTTATAGGAATATTGTTTGCGCTTTAACCAAACCCATACAAAATATTTAGAAACATTTCCGTCTATATTTCGAATTTATTACTCTGAATTTTTAGAACATATTTGAGCATGCAGATTTATAGCTCATGGAATTTAAGTATAATTAAAACTGAAAACTCCCGTTGATTTTTTAAAATTTTTTTGCGCTGATCTTTTGTGTTGTTTTTTTTTTTATTCAAAAATTGCTATTTAAAAAATCTGGCTTTGATTTTTTTAATCTTTTTGCCAACAATCATATTGCGTAATTACTTACCTGTCCATTTTTTATTTTTATTTAAAATATCTAGGCAATCAAAAGCTCCTCAGGATTCCCCTAAAATTAGATTTGAAAGGAGCACGAGATACGTTCGCCTTTTATCGATATGCACACATATATTTTAGTGCACGCAAGGGGTAGGTTTTGGGGTAACCCCCCCATAGAATAGAAGTTTACTACATGGTGCTGTCAAAACTTTGTTTTTTTTCCAATGACGTAGTTGTGAAGTGAGTTCTGATGTTCTGATTGGCTGAAATAATTTACGAAGAAGGAGAGTACACAAAACGCAGAAACTATAGCTGCCGTATAGCATATTTTAGGAATCCTAATCAAATGGGAATTTTTTTTTTCGTGGCAAAGCTTATTATAAAAACATAAAATGTTATAACTTCACATGAAACTGGATTAACATAATAATATTCGTACTATAGTGACAAATCAAATGTAAATCGAATGCTTACTGAAATTTGCTGGTGATTTTATTTTTGAAAGTTGGCAGAATGCACTCGCGAATTTTTAGAAAAAAAACGTTCTTATTCTACCCCCCTTTATCCCCCCTTTTCCTAAAATTCGCCGTCCGCATACTAAAATTTTCTCGAATTCTCCTTTCTGTGTTGCCGAAGAAGAGGGGCTGAACATCTTTTGCAGAGAACACTTTTCGCTACGGAAATTGCAGTTCATCTTTGGATATACGATAAAACGTAAAATTTCCTTTTCAGCCTGATTTTTGCAATCAAAAAACAACGCACTTATATTTTTAATAATTTAAATAAACTCAAAAATGCAGAAGAATGCTCAAACTTCAACACACATATCAGGGTTACACATATTTGAAATAAAACGTGATGTGTTTTTGACTAAAATAGTGTATTTTTATAAGATAATTTTTTAGGAATCTGGCAACTCCAAAACTCGAGCCATCTACGTCATCAAGATGGCGGCCATGGCGGATGTCTTAACCTTGTATTCTATGAACCTTGTGAATCTTTCGTTTTTCTTGAAAGCTCTTAAAAGTTTAGCTGCGAATGAAAACATTGTTTTAAATATATGTAATGTATACTCACTTAAGTGCTGAACACGTTGAACACGACGAGCAACGGGTCAAAGCTTGCAATTTGTTATCATCATTATCAAAACGCCTTGGCGATGGCTATATGAGTTTTTTGAACAATTCAGCAACATCATGAAATTGTATTAATGTGACATAAAAGAAGAGGAAGAACCTTATCTGTCGTTGGAAAAATAGAAATAGATCTAGTCTGGCCACAACCACAGTCGTAGTGTGACTCTGTCGCCGCCAAAATAATTATCTACATAGGAGTACGTGTTAAAATAATTTGACAGCTGTGGTCCGTAGCCAAAGTCGAATTCCTTCCACCAAAATGAGCCATGTACATAATAAGAAGATAAGTTCAGTTAATTTTTTCGGTACTTGAAATATTAAAAAAATTTGGCAGTCGTCAAAAATCACCATCTCCATCGAAAACCAGAAACTAAATAGAAATCGAGGAAAATCAACATTGAAACTATTTTTTTTTAATTTTTTATTACTTTTGAAAGTTGAGCGCATCTTATGTTTATAGAACTTTTTATTAAATAAGTCATTTTTACGCCCAAAAACACAACCGATTTCAATTCTCATATACAAGTACCGTTGATTTTTTCATGATTTGATCTAAACCATCTTTCCGATGACAAAAGAATTATTAAAATCGGTTCACGTTTTCCAAAGTTATGCGGTAGCATAATAAGAAAAGAAAAAATGTTCCGGCGAATTGATAACCTCCCCCTTTTTTCAAGTCGGTTGAAAACATTTGAGTTCTTTGTTAATTTTGTGTAAATAAAGTGCAATTTTTGAAACTTTATTTTTTTTTTCATTTGCTACATACTGTACATAAAACATGCCTAAATGCATTTTAAAGGGCGTATTATCTTAAGTGAATTTTCAGTTTTTTTCTGGTGATATAACTTTAGAAGTATAAATATTATAAAATAAAGATATTAAACTACGCAAAATAAAGCGGAAATGAAAAGTTTTTTTTTTGTTTTTAAAAAAATAATGTACCAAAATTAAAAAAAATTTACCTTTTTACCAACTCATAGTTTTTCCACCAGCTTTGGTAATAATTTACCAAAGTGGGAACACTGGTCACAACACCAAAGATCAGTGGAATATATTAGAATGCTGATTACATATGTATTGAACAGTGATATAGCCTAAAACTCATAAGAAATGCATTACTACTTTTCCCACTACATTTTGCATAATAAATAAACGTATTTTATTGATTTGAAATTTTTAATAAAACGACAGGCTAGTTAGTATTATCTTTATCCTTGGCTTTATTCGTTTATTTTTTTATTTTCATCTTTGCTTTTCTTCATCTACATATTCACCTAGATGATGTGCAGTGGGATTATGTGATAAGATGTTATGTAATGTGATGTGATGTGATTTTATGTGATGTAATATATGTAATGCGATTCCATGTGGAGTGATGTGATAGAATGTGATGTGTTGCGGTAGGATGTCATGTCATGTGATGCCATTTCGTGTGATGTCAAGTCGTGTTAGGTCATGTGCTGTGAAGTGATGCCATATCATGTGATGTCATATCATGTGATGTCACTGTCATGTGATGTCATGCTATGTGATGTAATGTCAAGTGATGTGATGTGGTGAAACTGAGTGTGTTGAGTTCGGGTGTGATGAGTTTAGGAGGGGTGTGGTGAGTTAAGGTGTGGGAAATTAAGGCGTGGTAAGTTCAGGTGTGATGTGATGTAAAAATGGTGAGTTCTATCTTTAATATATCTGTCTCTCTATCGATATCATTTTGTTTATAATTACTTTAACTGAATCTTATTAACCTTTATCTTTATTTTTATCGTTATCCTCAACCTCGTATTTTTCCTTGTATTTATCATTTTTTTATCTTTATATTCTTTTTGTCATCTACATATTAACGTGCACCTGAGTGTTTAAATTTACCTTGATAATCATTTTGGCCTTAATTTTTACGCAACTTTGTTTTTATTTTTACCTTTGCCTTTATCCTTTTCTTCATCTATGTACCTTCACCTCTACGTTCGTTCCTTTATTAGCCTTAATCTAAATCTTATCTACAATCGGGCTATTACTTCGTTTCTGTTAAATTAATACTATGTTGCATTTGCTAATTTACTCTCAATCGCCGCTAAAAAGTTTCACTTAAAGAAATGTAATAAATTTAAACAGTACTTTTGGGCACTACTTCACTATATAAAGGCGGAGGTGTCTCTGGCCTTCGGCGATGAGGCGTTCGTGTTGCACTAGGTACGCTAGCACCATCGGGGCTGTCAGGTGCGTTAGATGAAGAATTTGTGGCGCTGCTTTCACGATCCCCAAAGTGCTGACTCAGTCTATTATTAAAAAGATTACTGCGACTGAGGCGACGAATCAAATTCGCCGTGTTCTCATTTATAGTGCGATAGTACTGGTGTCGTGCAGGTCTGCCAAAAAGTTGTGATATGAAATTACCTCCGCCCGTTCGCGCCAGCTGATCATAACGTACCACAGTGCGTTGACGTGACGGTTGGCGACGACGACGCGGCGGTTGCGGCAAAACAACTGGAATATTTTCTTGCTCTGGCTCTGACGCTTGTGCTGAAGGTCTTCGAATTGCGTCCACTGCTGTACTTAACGCAGGTTGAGGTGATATCAGTGATTGACGCGCTACAGCAAAGCGCGAGCCATACGGATCTTCCACTTGCATCATGTTTCTCGCCTTTAAAGAGGTGCAACGCCAAATGCAAATAATACAGCTACCGATTAAGACAGTGATTGCTATACCAACGACATTCCCGCAAATAAAAACGAGTAAAAAATCGAGGTCACTGTACTCAGTGCCAAAGTTGGCGTTGTTGAAAGTTTGCCTAGGAAATGATTTACTACAGCCATTTTGGTAACACCAACGACGACATGTTTTGTTCATCAGCTCTGAAAAGTCCTTCTCCTCGCTTTCATACATATCAAAATCCGCATAATAATCTACATCTTCCCCGGAATCGAGTGTGGAATGCCAGCCAGAGAGTACACCTCTTCGAATGGCATCGTCGAAGTGCTCTTGTGAATCACCTGCGTCTTCTTCTTTTTCCATGCTTGCTAAACCATCAATTAATCTCTCATTCATAATCTCTATACGCTCAAATTCTTGCTTTTTATTTTGTGCACCTTTGATCGTTGTTAGAGTGTCTGCGTTTTGACAGTAGCTGTATATGACTTCAACATTTTGCACCTTCAATTGATCAATGGCTGTGCGAAGAGTTTGATCACAGTTCAAATTATTTTCTTCTAAGTTTAGCGTTCGTAACTGTTTTGGCGCTTGTGTGGCAAACTTATCGATCGTTATGATGTGATTACGCGTCAAATCGATAGCTTGCAATTGCGGCAGTGCACGGTAGTGTACCGGTAAAAGTACGTTAATCTGCGCACTAGCCAAATTGAGTGTCTGCAGTGATTTGCTACGTAAGAATGGTTCATTGGCCAATGAGAAAAACTTATTGCCCTCCAAGTTGAGGGTGTCTATCTTACGATTTGACTCGAAAAGCCGCGGATCGATGAACTCCAGACGATTATAGGAGAGGTCTATAGCGCGTATGCGCTTCAAGGGTACAAACGTGTCTAAGAAAATGGTGTGTATGGCATTGTGCCCTAGCGTTAGGTTTTTGAGGTGAACATAACCCTGAAGAGATATAGAAAATGCTTGAAGATTTTAAGATTTATAAGCAAAATTTTGTAAATTTACCTGAAAGCTGGCATTGTCCAGTACGGTAATATCATTGTAGCTTAAATCCAAGGACTCGACTTGGTATGGTACAGCAGTATTTGCACTTATTAGATATTTGGAGCTGAAAAAAATATATACAATAAAAAAAATTATAAAATAAGATCAAAGAAAATATGGTAAAATAAAAGGAATAAAAATAGTAAAAATGAAATGAAATGCAAATTGAATAAAATAAAATAAGTTAAAACAGAACTGAAACAAATATCAGATGAAATATAATACCTAATATAAAATGCGCAGTGATAATCTATGAATAAATAACAAAAATGTTCTAAAAAATAAGTAACTTTACTTTAAAAAAAAAATATACGTGAGTCAGAATTTCTGAGCTTCCCAAAGAGGAGAAGGTTATGTATTTGCGGGATTGTTTTTTTTTTTTTGTTTATATATGTTACCACGCAACTTTGAACCACGTTAACCGCTTACTATAATTCTTTTTTTAAAGGAAAGGTGTTACCTCACAGGTGTGCCCATACTAGTTTGGTTTAAATCTGATCATTGGATCATGAAGATATCAACGATTATCTTACATTTTTATTTAAGAATTGAAGTCGGTTTTGTTTTTTTCTTAAAAATTACTTGTTTACTTAAATCTACCTCTGTTTATTTTAAACTCAGTCACATGAAAACAAATAAACTGGTGCGCTGGTTTCAGATGCACTTGACGAAAATAAGTCCGAATGCGCTCGTTGCATTGAGCGTCAGCCTTCAACTAAAAATAACAGTTTTCCACGTTGCGTTCCATTTTTTACTCAAAGTAAAGTTTTTTCTCGGAGTAAAATTTTGCATATGTGGTTTTTTTTCTGTGTTAAAAAGTGGGGGAGAAATTTATTATTTTTATATTTTTACCAACAATTTTATAACAAATTTACCCTTAAACATTATTTTAAAATAAATAAAACCTATGTTTTTGAAGAGTTTTTAATAATAATGCAAATGACGGTTGAATTGTCAAAATCAGTCAATAAGATTGTTTGTAATTTCAACGTAACAGAAAAAATTATAAAGGTCCAAATAAAGATTTCCATCACTTAAAAATATATATTTTTTTCTTATTTAGTAAAAAAGTTATTCAAACCCAAAATAGGATGGGATATTTTGGCACCACCTTGTACATATCGTTTCTTTAATACAGAAAGGTTTCGTTAAAGAGTGATTAAAACCTCTAAAATAAAATAAAGTTTTTAAGCCGCTGTGGTGTAGTGGTAAGCAGTGCGCGCTTCCACTCCGCAACGCCTGGGTTCAAGCCCTGGTCAAAGCAACATCGCAAAAAATATAGAAAAAAGGTTTTTTTCTTAACAGCGGTCGTCCCTCGGCAGGCAATGGCAAACCTCCGAGTGCATTTCTGCCATCGAAAACGCCACAAATCGGAGGAGAAGCTCGGCCAAACACTAACATATGTATGTGTAAACGCCAATCTATTTTTATCATAAGCCAAAAATTTCTTTTAAATGCTGTATTTTTGAATGTCGCCACCTCCTAGGCTGGTTCTATATCGAAAAAATATACACCTGTTTTCTATTTGGAAATAAAAAAATTTTAGGGAGTACTCAAAGCGCTCAAAGTTTCCACGTAGAAATGTTTAGTGTAGAAATCTTGAAAATCAATATTTTTCGATCACTCATCTTCAGGAGATTCCCAGAAATAATGTCTAGTTGTTTCTCAGGTTTAAGGAAGTCTCCTGAAGAGAACCACAGTATTCCGATCGAAAAATATTGATTTTCAACAGTTTTATACCATTTCAACGAAAAGTTGCTTTTCCCCATATAAAGTACATGGAAAACTCCCTAAAAATTTTTTAATTTCGAAATAAAAAATACGGCTCAATTTTTCCAGTTCAGAGCACTCCTAGGAGGTGGCGGCATTAAAATTATTATTTTTGGACCACTCTAATGCACATACATAAAAAAATAGTTTTTACCTGCAATCGGCGTGGTTAAGATTATTCTTTAAATTACAAATGCAGTAAATAGGACAGATTTTCGGCGGTTCACACTTTCCCATTTGCATAAATAACATATGCACGAGTATGATATTGCCTAAACAAAGATAGGTAATATCTTTAGAATAAGAATACCACATATTTCGCAATGATTTTGCTGATCTTCTACAACCGACTTTAAATTAAATATCACATATATTTCATAAATATTGTAAATAAAACCAATATTAATTAGATTTAAACATCTACAGATTTATTTCTAAGAAAGTTTTTCACTGCTCTTAATTGTTTCGATATTCGAATTGTACTGAGAGACATACCGCACTGAAATGGAATTCTATGAATCATTGCAATACCCTACGTGAACACAATGGGGCAGTTTAGTTTGAAGCAATTTAATAGAATGCACGAGTAACTCTATACTGGCATAAGCATATCAATGTTAAGGTTTTGCGCGCAATGAAGTGGTCCGAATATCTGATGTTTGACTGTCGCACATTCGCTTATCAGCCGTGTTTGTTTAGCCCAGATAAGATATTATGTTATCTTTCGGTAGTGAATGTTCATTGTTTATTTTCGAAAATTCGGTATTATATTCACATACGTTTAACAGGCA